TACTAATATCGCCCTCCCGAGGGTCAAAATTCCTAGGAAATTCGCCCCCCTTTAGGAAATTCGCCCCCATGATTTAGAAACTTCACCTTTTCTTTAGGATTTTCGTCCTCCGTTCAAAAATTTCGCACTTCCTAACAGTTGCACTGATAATTATAACATGGCTTTAGTCATTTGAAATCAGTATCTATTCAAAATTGTTAAGAATACAAATTTACAATTTCATTGTATCGAAAGGGCTTACAGTAGATCAATAGGACTTATCGTACGCTTTACAGCACACCATACATATTTTGTATTTTCGGTGTTATTCCTAACCATATATATTTTATATACACTAGATAGTGCATCTAATTATTCTGCAATACAAAATTGAAGCCGTGATTGCAGTCTCAGGTCGTTCCCATGAAATAAGAAGATTCGTATGTTTTCTATTTCTTAAAGAGTGAGTATCATGCCCGTGATGCATTGCGTGCTTATGTTTATTTACATGCTTGCGGAAGCACTTTACATTTCGTGCGATATCATATAAAATATAGCAGTTGTTCACATTGTTGTGCGAAATAAAGTGATTCTAGTACGATGTCTGAATCAGAATCGGACCCAGATTTAACTTTGGAGCGTTACGATTTAGAGGACGATCAAAATGCGTACGGGTCGCCGGTTTATATATCGCCAAGGGAAGAACTAACCGGCGTCGAAGCCGCAGCGGTTGAACCCTTGAATGAACCAACTTTGGCCGCCGACGATGATAGAACGCAGGTTAGTTTACCTTATTTTCACCAGTTGTTTCAGTAACCAATAACTGTATACTTGCAGACTTGTATTTACGCAACAAATTCCTGTTAATTTCAGCGCTGTAGCTGCAAAAACACGTGCAGCAAGCGAAGCGGCAGAAAGAAGTGAGGTTGCCCTTGCCGGCGATGAAGGTGTAAAATGCACAGAAAGATGTTCATGTGGAAGTAAAGCAGCTAATTGCAAAAACAAGACACAGGGATAGGGAACAGTTGCCTCCGCAAATGCAGGAAAAAACGCATTTGAATGTCTCGAGATCGCAGTCAACGAAGCAAAACAACAGATTACGGTGAGCACGTGCATTTTTTATCTCAGAGTTACAATATTGTAAGATTTCTCACAAGCATAAAGTGTCCGAATACTTTATATGGATTTTTAAGGCAATCGAACCCGCAACGTTGTGAAGCCACAGTACTAAGATATGCATGTATGATAGAGCAATCTATTTTACTTATACCTTTTGTGGCCTCAAAAATGTTGCAGTTGCACGTTTTGTACCGGAAGAAACACATTTTCGACCGATAATTTTCCTGTTATAATCGTTGGTTGCCTGGTTATATATTATTACAGATTACCTTTGTTCTCGCATTATGTATGTTCAAATATGATCTGCATGCTGATTATGTGTAAACCTTTGAACCTGGGATAAAGTTTAATATTTAGGAATAGGAATATAATAGAATATTTCAGTAAGGAATATATCAGGTTATTTGATTATGAAACCTGGTATAGAATAACTTCTATCCATTTAATTTTAATATGCAAAAGTATGTAACCATGCAAATATAAATTGTTTATGTATTTCCAGGAATTCATCAAAAACATTAACTGTTGATCAAAAGGGTAGTCTAGATTACGCCGGTAGTCTAAATCCCAGATATAAGGCCACGCTGGTGCAAATGTGGAGTATGCCGGCCTATAACTACTGATGAAGAAAACAAGTGTTGTGGTAAAATCAGGTGTCTAACATCATATGTAACATTCAGAATCACCTGTACAGAAAGAGTTAGTCATGGCCATCAGATCAAGGTGTGACATTAGGGCTGAAGAACCAGATTACTCAACAAACAGCTACAGAAAGGCTGCAATATCGCCAGTACATTCTCTGGCGATACAAAAAGCTGGGAAAGGGTAATAGAAAGGTGTGTCCATCGTGTGTAGTCTTGGCAATCAGACTCATATATCCTGCAAATGATGGGGTATACATGGGCTTCAAGAGAGCTTGACATTTTATTTTTAATAAATAATAGTCACTGAATAATCACTATGTACATATGATCCATTCAAAAATATCTATAATTTCATTTGTTAATTAAACACTATTGAGCGAAATGTCTTCTCCATACTTCTAACATGTTCTCATGATGTTGACGGACCTTCACCCTGTATAGCATCTTTATTGGTCTGCTCTGTCACATACCCTGATTGTGCCCTCTGGACAAGATCGCTTGTTTTAGGAATTGGTTTGAGGGCAATGGATGGGGCAATATTCTTCGGATGATCTTCTGGGGCAGGAACTGCCCTCAGAATACTTGCAGAATTCTGGTCGCAAGTGTGGGCCAGAAATCGTAGCTCTTAACTGAAAATCAAAAATACATTATGTATTAGAAGCCATATACCCTCTCTGATCAATACTTTGATATACAGGGTGACCCAAAAAATTTAATTGTGTATTCTCTTCAAATTATTTGCTGTTTTGAATAGAGTACACAATTAATTTGTTGTTATTTAGAGAGAGAGGTGGGAACAGAACAGGATCCACAAACTGAACAGGTTCAAGAAACTCACTAAAAGTTATTAGCTTATAATTATGTATAGAAGTATGCTATGTGGAATAAAATTACTAAAATACAACAAATATGAGGGAAAATTATACTTACTCATCTTCATCGTTACTGGAAAATTCTAGGTTTTGTTGTTTCTGGGAAACTTTCATCAAAATCGGAACTGTTCTCACTTTAAAACAATACAGAACTGTATGTTAATACTTGAAAATCCAATCAACTTCATTATTAGTGTGTAGATGTAGATGTACATGTATATCAGTACATGAGGTGAGGGGTTTGAAGCAATTCAGTCAAGATTACGTTAACAATCTTTAATTCACCGTCTGAAGCTTGATATATGAAAACGTATGAACATCATGTCTCTGGGGCTTTATCAATGATGAAAGATGATTTTAAATAGAAAGGTCAATTACCTTGAATCGGAATCTGATTCTGAGCTGGTAGTACCTGTCTCGGAACTGGAAGGGTTGCCAAAATGTTTTCCAAATTCAGAATTACTGGAGAGTGACAAGTTCTCCATTGTACTGATGCCCAAAGTCTCCAAACCTTCGACTTCATGTACAGATCGAAATATGAGAAGTAGACTCTCCATGAATATTTATACTACAAATGACATAAAGGGAACATTGCATGTCAACAATCACTTGACATGCATTCTTTATATTCACAGTAAAAACCCATAATATAACTGAAAAGTTTACTCACACATCAACATTGATATCAGATTGGCAGGAAATTGATGATATTGAATCTTCAAATAACCTAGCTTTCCTTTGTCCTACAGCAGGCGTTGAACTACATGGTACATGTGAATGATGCACTAAATTGAAACAGACAAAACGTAAATTGTATACAAGCCGTATATAATTCATAATAACATGACTTTGGGAAAAATATAGGGTATAAATATAAACTGCAGTGATCGTACTAAATATTTCGACTTACCACTACTAGGAGTTTGGATTCTTAGACCTTCGTCGAGATATATGTGCTTGGTTAATCTTATCCGCACGACTGCTTCGTCTTTCTTTGGCCTTCCACGTTTCGGAGGCGATGCACCAGCCATGACTCGGAAGGAAATACACCAGTTTATCGAAAATTACGGCGTATTATTTATCAAAACAAACAAACAATTCCTCTAACATGGTCAACGCTCCAAGGGGAATACAAAAAATTAATAATTTATAACACGATTGTTCAAATATCGCGCAGATTCCACATTAATCCTCAAAATACAACTTGGTGGCCATTTTCGCGGCACCGTAAAATGGCCGACTAAGGCAATAAGCACGCAATGCATCACGGGCATGATACTCACTCTTTAAACAGTTGCGAGGAGATATGGATATATATAGTTTATGTTCGAGTGGCAAAAACAATATCTCACCGGTGAGCGCAGCGAACGAGTCAAGTGAGATATTGTTTTTGACACGAGAACATAAATCCATTTATTATATAAACATAAGTGTTATATAGAGTTTTTGGCCACTGAGAAAAATCGTATTTAAACACACGTAAAAAATACGATATTTTTACGTGTGAAAATATCATTTGTTGTAAAACGCATTGCCACGGACGTTTTATTATTTTTCACCGAATTTTGTTTATATAATAAACAGAAAAATACATGGGTGCTTGGAAATACCAGATTTATTTTTCGTTTTGAACATGATATCTCACTCGTTCGCTGCGCTCACTCGTGAGATATAATGTTCAACACTCGAAATAAATCTGGTATTTCCGCGCACCCATGTATTATTCTCTATATCTTCTCGCAACCGTTTAATGTTCTGTTTATTATATGGACTTATTCAGAGTGACAAAAATACACACAAAGACGACATGTAACGTTAATTTCGGTTTATATACGAACCAAAGACCATTCGTATTTTCAAAACAACAACAATGAAAATGATATTTTCTGTGTTGGTGCAATGTACTCAGGTGAATATGATGCTTGTGATGTTACTCTGAGTGTATATCCACACCGGGCAAGCTTCAATAATATGCCTGACCACGGCCGTGGGAATCGAACCTACGACCTTTGGAATACTAGCCCAATGCTCTGCCAACTGAGCTACGCGGTCTGGTCGGTTCGAGTACTGTATGTGATATTTCGGAACAGAATCTAGTTCCTTCGATATCCATTTAATCTAGTAATGATGATACATACTCGAACCGACCAGACCGCGTAGCTTTTATATTCTCTGTTATTCAACTTTTATAACATATATTTACTCTGCTATATTATACATGTATGCTTGCTCTCTGGCTTAGCGTCTCCTAATCTAATGTCTCGTGACCTAATCTTATATGTCAATCACTTACAGCTGACCAATCAGCATTAGGATACAACATCCCTTCCTTAATTATAGTTATAATAATATCAACCTTTAAAGTTTCTAATAGTCTCTAATTCTATGTAGTTCTTTACTTCTTTACTTTGTAGTTCCGCTCTAAGACTTTGTGTCTTGGAATTACTATTACGGGGTTCCATTACCGTGTTCTTTAAAACTAAACAAATGTCAACAGTCTGCATTTTAAACCTGACTAACTTAATTAACCTACTTTTAGACAGTCTGGTGTTTTCTATTTCTCGTTGATCTACGTAGAACAATTTCCGCTTCTGTACTACTCTGGTTGGTTTCTGTTTGAGTTGCTTCGGTGTTTTCTTCGCGACTTTCCGTTTGTCTGTCATGCTTGCGATTACTCTGGATTTCTTCTTCAGGATCAGGAATTTCCTGGTATAACTTGACATGCGATGAGTTTCTGCGATGTTGTGTGCCATTCTTGTCTTTTAACACTATCTGCGTGCCGTTTATTTTGGTGATTACCATTGGATCAGGATGAAACTTTGTCGTAAATTTGTTTCGATGTTTTTGAGTAACTAGTACTTTATTTCCGACTTCAAGATTTCTTGGACTTGCTTTCGCTTCTTGTCGGTATATTTCTTCGATTTCTCTTTCTCCTCTTCATCTTTCTTTCGAGTTTCAGTTTCATCGTTTGTCTGTTGTTCAAAACTAGGAAGTTTCGTCTTGACTTCTCGGTTCATTAGCAATGTTGAAGGCGTTCTTCCGGTCATTCTATGAGGAGTATTGCGGTAGTGGAGTAGCATGATTGGAATGGTGGGTTTCCACTCTTTTCCTTCCGCCTGTGCGGTTAGGATGTGTTTCTCGAGAACTTGATTAAATCTCTCAACTTGCCCATTTGCTTGCGGCCAATATTCCGTCACCGTCTTATGTTCTATTCATTGGGAAATCCGTGAGTTGCAAATACCGATAGTAACCAGTCGAGAATGTTTTTCGACGTGACTGATTTTAAGATTTTGACTTCTGGCCAGCGCGAATAATAGTCAGTAAGGACAACTACTTGTTCTCCAGTGGGAAATGGTCCACATACTGTATATCTATGGCTAACTTCGACCATGGTTTCTTAGGAAGCTTGGTTGGTTCCATTGGCTCTGGTCGCGGGCTCTTACTGACAAGTTGACATGGATGACAGCATCGAATTCGTTCTTCAACCTGCTTGTCCATCTCTGGCCACCAAAGCTTGGAGCGCAGGCGTTGTTTGCAGCGGACCATACCTGCATGATCCTCGTGTGCAAGGCTAATTGCTTGTTGTCTCAGCTTGTTAGCCGAAGAACAATGCGATCACCCCGAAGTAAGATATCTTGATCTGTGTGCAGAGCTCATGAGCGATGAGCTTATATGCTTTCGGAAGTTTGTATACTTGATTATTTTGCAAGTTCTGTTTAATCTGCTGGAGTTCCGGATCTGCTGTTTCTCTTTGTATTTCTTCTAATTTCATGGCATTCGGTGTCTGAGCTTGTGTCATGTAATGAACATATCGATCAGCGCAAGCTTCCATGTTTCTCCTCTTGCTTCCATCTTTTCCATCTTTCGGGAGTCGGGACAAAGGATCGGCCAGATTGGATGCGCCAGGTCGGCAGATAACGTGGAAGTCGTACTCTTGGAGTCGAAGTCTCCATCTTTCGAGTCTGGCTGATGTTGGTTTGCTTTGAAGCTTTGCCTTGTAGATATGCTCTAAAGGTCGGTGATCTGTCTCCAATTCAAAACTACGTCCATATAGGTACATGTGAAAGCGTTCACATCCGAATACGATTGCTAATCCTTCTTTCTCTATGTGACCATACTTCTGTTCGACATCTGTTAGCGATCTGCTACCATACGCGATTGGTCGATAATTGTCGTCCGCTTGTTTCTGGAGAAGTACGGCACCCAGTGCCCATGGCGATGCATCTACTACGACTTTAGTTTCCGCAGTAAGATTGTAATGAGCTAATACCGGTGATGGCATTCTTCAGTGACTGGAATGCTTTCTCGTGACTGTGATCCCAGTGAAACGTGACATTCTTTGTAAGCTGTCGAAGTGGGAAGGTTAGGCTGCTGTAGTCGGGTATATATCTCGAACAATAATTGGTGATCTGAGTCCTAGGAAGGATCTGACTTCCGATGCTGTGGTAGGATGTGGAGCATTTGTTATGGCTTCGACTTTGGTGCTATCTGGTCTGATCCCTTTCTCGGACACGATATGACCAAACACGTTTATCTGCGGTACTGCGAACGAACACTTTGGTAGTTTCAGTGTGATGCCATTGGTTCTCAGGATTGTGAGGAGCTGGTCTAGCCGCTTGAGGTGTGTTTCTCTGTCTTTGGACCATAGCCAAATGTTATCAGAGATGTTGGCACAATCTGGTACCTCTTTGATGAGCTCGTGGATAATCTCATGAAAGTGTTTCTCCGGATGGTGATGTTCCCATTATCAGCCTGGTGAATCTATGCGGACCATCTTCAGGGGTTGAAAATGCTGTAATATGACGGAATTCCTCTGCCAAGGTCAGTTAAAGATAACCTTGCGACAGGTCAACCTCTGTAAAGACTTTTGCTCCCTCCATCTTTTGAAGTATCTCGTTGACTGTAGGAATTTGCACGCGCCGTCTTACAAGTGCTGTGTTAGGTATACGCATGTCTAACACTAGTCGGAGGTCCCCACTCTTCTTTGGGATGGCTATCAACGGTGATAACCAAGGCGTTGCTCCCTCAACTTTCTCGATTATCCCTTCCTCTCTCATCTCCTGCAGCTTTTTGTTTACTTTGGTTTTCATGCTGTGTGGAATTTTCCGATTTGTTTGTGCGACCGGGGTTATTGTTGGGTCAATTTCGAGCTTCACTTCACGTCCCTTGAGGTTTCGCGTTCCTTCAAATAGCTTTGGATGTTTGTTGATAATGCGACGTACATCATGATCTTGTTGAACCGGGTTGAGGGTGTTGATGTTGAGGATGATAAGTCCCAATGAGGAAGATGATTCGTATCCAAGAATACACTTAGATTTCTTCTGTGCTACATAAAACTTAGCAGTTTTGAATGTCCCTGATGCTGAGGTGATGGTTGCTTGAAATTCTCCGGCTAACTCGAGTGGTGTTGATGTTCCATATGCAAAGATTCTGGCATTGGTCTTTTGTAACTTGATACGGTTGTCGTCTTTCTGAATTTGTTGAAAAATTGGGTAGTTCAGAAGGTTAACAGAGGCTCCGGAATCAATCAGAATGTTTACTTTAGTGTGTCCAATCTGTACTTGCGTTTCTGGATGTTTACCCGAGCTTGTGTTGACAGTAAAAAGAAATTCATCGTCCGATTCTTGAAGATAATCACGACTTTTCTCTTGGTTGACATGTCTGACATTTCCACTGTCCTTAGATTGAGATCTGCAATATTTTGCAAAATGACCGATTTTCTTGCAGTTGTGGCAAGGTTTACCTCGAGCTGGGCAAGACTCTATTCCGTCTTTGTGCGGGAATTTACCTCCACAGTTACGACAGGTTTGGGACTTTCGACCGCTATCTGGAGCTTCTTTCTGGTATTTATTTCCTTGAAAACGCGAATCGGGCTTCTTGGGCGTCTGTATCTGGTGGAATTTGATCCACCGGAAGTTGGAAATTTTCGATGCTGTTTTGAATTCTTTTTTTTGTAATTATAATTTACCGTTTCGTTACTTTCGCTTTGGAATTTGCTGGCGTTATCGAGGCGTTTAGACTGTTCATCTGTACGGCGTTCTAAGGTATTCCCCTAGTCGAGAATTTGTTTGAGAGTCATCGTCTCCCGAAGCGCTTTCTTTCTTAACCGGGAATCGCGGGTTTTGTGAATAATTTGGGTTTTAATCTCGGTTTCCTCGCTGTGAAAATTACATTGTACTGCTTTTGTCTTCAGTCGACGGTAGTATTCGTTGAGCGTTTCGTTGGATCCTTGCTTTAGCTCTCGAAAATCGAATATAGCCATGTCTGTATTTCCTTGTGGCACGAAGTGTTGGGTGAAACAATCGATCGCTTGTTGATAAGTTGTGCCAGTGTCGGGGAGAATATCGAAAATGTCGTTGGCTGACTCGCCTACATAGGTTAACAATAAACCTCTCCTAACGGTTGAATCAAACTCACGAAGACTTATAAGCAAGTTTTCGAAACGACGAACCCATTTAGTCCATCCAACACCCACTGTTGCTGTATCTAGGTGTGGATTAAAGGGAGGAAACGGCGGTAAACCACTGCGTGGAACTTGCGATGTTGTTGTCGCGTTTGTAGCGTTTGACGTTGTTGATGATGATGCGTTTTCAGCATTGATATCTTGACCTTCGGTATCCATAATATAGATTTTAGGGTTTTTCGGACCTCGTCGCCACTTTTATATCCTCCGTTATTCAACTTTTATAACAAATATTTACTCTGCTATATTATACATCTATACTTGCTCTCTGGCTTAGCGTCTCCTAATCTAATGTCTCGTGACCTAATCTTATATGTCAATCACTTCAGCTGACCAATCAGCATTTGGATACAACAGTGGCTTAATCGAGGATTCGCGGTAACCTATGCACTAATCTTTGCACACTACTTTGCACTATCCCTGGGATCTTTGAGTTTCGTGTAATTCATATTCGATTCGTTGTTCCAAGTTGATAAAATTCATGTATTTATTCTTAGGCCATCAAGATGTTTCTGGAGGTTTTCTTATCACTCTGTCTTTGTTGGTTATTATGGTTCCTGATTACGACCCACTTAAGTCGTCGCTCTCTTCCTCCCGGTCCTTTCCCATTACCAATAATAGGAAACGCTCATCAATTGGGTACCAATCCTCCCTTCTCCATGGAGGGAATTCGCAATAAATATGGAGAAATATACACGCTACATTTGCCCGTGGGAACATTTGTGGTAGTGAATAGTGGCAGACTAGCGCGCGAGGCACTGGTAACGAGGAAAGATGATTTTTCTGGCCGACCAAATGATGCAGCAAATTTTCCATTACGTGACATATTCCATGGAAAAGACATAAGTTTCACTGATTTTGGTGCAAGTTTTTTATTCCGTCGTCGAATTATCAGTTCTGCGTTTCATGTATTTGGCGAGGGACTACAGGAAGCCGAAGAAAGGGTGAGCAAGGAAGTTGGTTGTTTGCTTGAGTGGTTGGGAGATAGTGATGGAAAACCAACTGCACCATATACTGGTATAAGCATTACTATGATTAATATCATGGGCGAATGGCTATTTTCGAAGCGATACGATTACCGAGATCCAACTTTAAAGAAACTATTAAGTTTTAACGAAAAACTTTTGTATGTCGTTCAACAAGGACGTATTTATCAAGCATTTCCATTTTTAAAGTATCTGCCATCAAAAGTTATGAAAACTTTAAGTGAAGTTCTGAGCACGCGCGATGAGTTCTTTGGATCACATTTAAGTGAGCACAAGGAAAGTTACCAAGATGATGTCATACGAGATATTACTGATGCTTTACTTGCTGAATACAACAAAGAAAAATCCAAGAAACTTGATAAAACAATGGGATCCAAAGATGATATTAAGTATTTTTTGATGAACATTTTTGTAGCAGCAAGCGATACAAGCGCCTCGGTATTAACATGGTTTATGTTATACATGGTCATTTACAAGGAAGTGCAAGAAAAAATTCAAAAAGAAATCGATCTTGTAGTCGGTGATCACCGCTTACCAAACTGGAAAGATGCTGAAAACCTGCCTTATCTTCTTTCTACTATTTGTGAAGTCATGCGCCACTCGAGTTTTGTACCGATAAATATACCACATAAAGCAACACGTAATTCAACCATCAATGGCTATATTATTCCTAAAGAAACTGTAATTTTATTCAACTTCGCAGCCATTCACAACGACCCCTGTGATTGGGAAGAACCAAGAGAGTTTAAACCTGAACGTTTTCTTGATGAAAGCGGAAAATTTTTCGGCTGGAATACTCTCCCCAATTTTTTTCCGTTCGGAGCAGGTCGTAGGATGTGTCCAGGCGAAAATCTTGGTAAATTACAGGTCTTTATTCTAGCGTCCAACGTCTTGCATCAATTCTGTTTGAAAACTGTGGGCAATGAACCCCAGCCAAGCCTTAAGAATAATATTCCAGGACCTATTTTATATCCTAAAAAATATAAAATTTGTGCTATAAAGCGGTTCTAACAGTCTTAAGAGACATAATATATTTCAGTTTAACAGAATGGTATTAATAATATTTGTGTTAATAGAGTGGTATTAATAATATTTGTGTTAAATTAATTACAACATTTAACAGATGATTTTAGAATGTTTTGTGTTCAGGGGTGAACCGATTACCACAAATTCGATCAGTGTGTATATTTCAGTGTTGTCAATATAGTCGAGTCACGGATTCGGACTCTTATCTCATACCTAGCATATTAGCGGCTGTCCTATTAGTCCTATTAGGGGATGATGGGAAGTAAGGCATCATATTGCTGATATGCTGAAAAATTTCAATAAAAACTACCGAAACAACCGAAATATTTCAATATTTACAAGTATAAGCTATCACTCCGTGTTTACACGGCCACCATTTTTATTTTTCAGCATAACCAGCAATGTGATACCTTACTTCCCATCGTCCCCTGCACGCATAAACTAAAAGCTGGAATTGCCTATTGGCTACGGGGACGTGCGTCCAATCTCGAACCCACCTGCTGACGTATGTTTAGGAGCGGGGTTCGAGATCGATGTTTTCGGCGGCGGCCATTAATTCTGAAGCGATTTGAACAAATTTCGGACGAAGATTTAAATAAAAATAAATTAAAATTTTAAATTTGGGATTTGATGCTGGGGGTGATCCAAGGTTTATCCGATTTATGTAACTTGGTGGGTTTCAGGGCCAATCAGGGGAAAGACGACATCAATTGCTAATATAAGAGTAGATATCAGGGAGTTGGTTAAATTGTTGGTCGAGGACTTGTTAACATCAGCCAACCAATAAACACCACATATCTAACGTCCAAAAGCGTCTACCATCGATTGTAGGTAATGGCGTGAGTATCGTTTAGAAAGGTTCTTGGTGTTAAGGTTGGGATGTCTGACATTGGGGCGCCAAAGTACAATGTTGTGATCCGATGTACCTACGCGACAAGTATATAACAGGTTCCGTGTAGTAATCATAATTGGCAAATTATGAGGTCCAGAATGTTAACCCCTCGCCGATACGACTCCCCACAACTTGTCTCAGATCATGGGCAGAAGTAATGTTGGATATATACATCCAGTTGATTGAAGTCACCCAGTATAACAATCCCACGTGCACAATCTGGATATTGGTTGCGCATCCGAACTGACTATATATGATTATATGACAATGACTATATGACTTTAGTATATTTTCAGTATTGAATAATGACCTTTGAGCATTCTGATTGGCTCCCTCGCAGTAATTCTGACTATACCGTATTACTATATGACAGTATGACTTTAGTATACTTTCAGTATATATTGAAAAATGGCCTTTGAGCATTCTGATTGGCTCCCTCAGCAGTAACTCTGACCAGGGCGTAATGCTCTGACGCAATATTTACTGCTCAGACTGCTCTGAGCATGCAGTTACTATTGCTTTTCCAAAAAATGGCTGAAACTGCAGTAAATAAATAATTTATGCAAGTTACTGTATATTCATAAAAATTAATAAACACGTCTATTAGTTGTATTTATAATTAAAATATCATTAATAATTCATAAACCTTGTGACAAACCATGTCAGCCATAATATGTCACTTGGAATGACTTTATACCTGATAAAATGCATCTTCATTAGTATTCTCTATATAATTGTTCATCCTAATTAGTATGATTATATATAATTGTTCATCCTAATTTGTATTCTTTTCAAGTCGTATTTTAAGCTATTCAAAACACTCGTTGTCGTGTTTTATGACATATAAAACGCTCGGCTGCGCCTCGCGTTTTATCAGATAAAACACTCCTATACTCATGTTTTAAATAGTACTTCAAACACTCATTAATAATTCATAAGCCTATTGGCAAATCTTGTCAACCATAATACGTCACGTGCAGTGGCTTTAAACCTGATAAAACACTCCTAATTAGTATTCTTTATATAAAGAATACTAATAAAGCAGTATCTATTGTAGTCGCGTCCTCATTAGTATTCTTTATATAAAGAATACTAATAAGGCAGGATATCTATTGAATTTGTAGTCGCGTTCGAAGCCGAGTTTAATAAACTCTCAGGTCAAACTCGCGGTGCGCGCTCGTGGCTTTAAACCTAATAATTAAAACACTCCTAAAACACTCCGTTGCTAAGGGCCATTGTCAATGCTACTAAGTGCAAAAAGGCGCGAATATACAAGCTCAAACGGGCGTGTTCGTTAATTTGCGCGCACAAATATCAAGCCGTACTTCGCGAAGCATTTAATTTGGAAATTTTTACTTTTAGTCATGGACATATCCCACGAGAGTGATACACAACTTGTTGAATTTAATGTCGAATACACGTATTATGAAACGAGTCGCAAAACACCGATTTTTATTGGAAAAACTCAGCTAAATTCAATGAGATACGACCAGTTGTCATCACTTATAATAAGCGAAATACCTTATCTTGGCAGAATAAACTGTGCCGATTAGATATTGTAAAAAAGACGGGAAAGAAAATGAAATTGATATTTCGCCGAAGTATTTCACTCATCAAATAACAAGACTTCTTGGAAGTGGACTTAACGCTTTTAGCGTGAGAGTTATTGAGAGTGAATCGCCACTTTCGTCTTCTTCCTCGACGACAACGTACAAAGGCAACGCTGCGCGGGACAATACTGAACATGAAAACCCTACAACTGGTGCAAGCATCAATGCGGGAATCCATTGGCATCGTGTACTCTCAAGGCCAAATGAACCTGCGGCTGCGGTTCTCCCAAGAAAATCTCTCCTTACTCCATTAGAAAGGTACTCACAAAAACACAATGAACATTTAAACATGATGAACGATCAAATTGAACTAAGTCGCCAGCCGTGTATTGCCACAGAAAAGAATACTCGAGGAGGAATTTGCTATCCGCTATCCAACAATAAATAAACGACCAAGAAAGCTTTTTCCGAGCTAGTGGGTCATCTTCACCTGTTGGAAGCACGCATAATGTCATAACCCAGCGGACTCTATGCTCGACAACAGCTTTGAGGACGATATGGATGAAACAAACAATGCCGCAACTGCTTTACTTTCGTTGAACAATATTAACAGTGTAACAGATATTCAGGTGAAAACCAGATACTTTGTTTATGAATATGACGCTATATAAACAGTAACATATCTGTCATTAACATTGATATTGCGTTTTTGTCGCCAAACACTCCTTGGCCCTCGGCCTTTCAAAGCCAAATATATAAATGGCCGAAGTGTAGTCTGTATTTTCAGGCAAACCATTTTCAGGTTGGTTTTATATAAATTCAGCTGACGTTTGGACTTTGGAATGTTAGCTGTTGTGTTTGCGATTTGCACTAATCCTTTTGTGAGTTTTGATATTTGGACACATGATTTATTTATACTGTAAATGTTTACTGTGTACATTGTAGTGCAGCCTAATTCAATGCTTCATATTTGACATTAGATTTGTTAGGTATTTTTTGGTAAATCTTCATATTTTTGTCACATGTTTTTGTATTTTCATTATTATAAATAAAAGTATTTTCGGGAATCTTGTTTGTATATCTGCATGTAGACATAATCAAAAGAGAGGGCAAAGATAAATAATACGTCCCATTGTCATTGATGAAGTATTTATATTTATTATATACCAATAGTCAAAGTCGCATTTTTCTAGTGTTTTATTGGTCGAGAGCATATCACGTGAGAAGTATGGACCATTCCAAAACTAACAAATTTTGAATTGCATATATATATATATATATATATATATATATATATATATATATATATATATATATATATATATATATATATATATATATATATATATATATATATATATAGCATGGTAAAATACGATAGGGTATAAAAGGACTTTACTTAATATAGCTGCTTCTAATGATGGGCTCTACTTCAGTACTTCATTATATTCTTTCACTCACAACCGTTCGTTAAGTTCACATTGAGAATCTATTACATGTAGTTGCGTGTTTTTGTACACGAAATAGACCAGAATTTGAGCCTCTAGAAAACCTCGGCACGAAACGCGTGCATGTTTTGCGCGACAGGCTGATAGCGCGTCTACCGACGTGACGAAACTCACACCAGCACTCGCACGCAATCTTGTTTGCATCTGTACTATATCTACTGTAACCCTATAAAGCAGTGTAGTCAGTTTTTATGCATTTACTATGCATGCTGGAAGTGGTCTGCAATTCTCCCATCCCAGCATGCCAAATATCATCTGACTATCCAACGATATGTAATAAATAATCAAACAGTGAGTCGTTAATTTCATGTTTGCAAATACTACTAAAGAAGTTACTTATGTATGGTCGGAATATATATAAGATTTGCCTACCAAAACCCAAGGCTAAGTCAAGTCACTGTTATTACCCATTAGCTAGTATACTAATATAGCTATACATATAAAAAGATAAATTATAGACATACTGTATAACAAAGAATACAAGATATCGTTTAGAATACAAATATATACAAGAAATAGTGATATT